CTGGTCCCAACCAATGACTTTTATTAAACACTATAGGTTGGACACACAAGTCAGGCAAGATGCTACCTTTGGGAAAGCAGTATTGTTATCTGGACTTCATTGAATGTTCTTATATATGTTTGCACTAACTCCGTTATGCATTCACTTAAATGAATATATTGAGTACTGGGTTTATAGTACAATTTACATACAGGGATGTTTCAATTGAAAGTTCATTGGACTTCATTGAATGCTCTTATATATGTTAGCACTAACCTCGTTGTGCACTCACTTAGATGGATATATTGGATACTGGGTTTATAGTACAAATGTACATACAATGGTGTTAGAATTGAAAGTTTATTTATTGTTCAGGAATTACAATACGGGTTCTTCTTGAATTCTGACTTGAATTTATGAGTTGTTTACTATTATTCAATTTGCATTTGAAACTCACTGACTGTTGGGTTACAATCAATTCCTGATGTACTTGAATTTGATGCCAATGAAGGTTCAGGTGCCTATTACCTTGGCTAATTTGTGCCAATAAATTTTCTTGTTGCACCTCTAAGCCTTGTGTCAGGACACTCCCTCCTCCAGGGACATTAGCTTGCTAGTCTGAATAACCCATTTGTGTGATTCGCAGAGACCACGAAGAAGAAGGACAGGTTGCACACCTGTAACAGTATTTCTTCGAGTGGTCATCTGCAAATTCACACAAATCCTGCCCAACCTCCCCTCAGTCATGTCCTGCTCTAAGTTGATAACCTTGCTGTCGCTTTGTAGCAGCATACTTGGAACTGAGGATTGAGCGGGAAAGCGAGGGCCTATATAGAGGTGGGCGGAGCTACCACCAAAAAGTTGCAATCTAACTTCTGCCTAGTGATTCCAGAAGATTCCGAGCTAGCTGCGCATGCGCAGACAAAACCCATTTGTGTGAATTCGCAGATGACCACTCAAAGAAATACTGTAAATACTGTTACAGGTATGCAACCTGTCATTTTCCCTGACTATCACAGATGGAGCAAAAACAGTGAGGCCAAAAGTTCTTAATTGTCAGTGTCTGATCTTTGGGAGAGGCTTTTCAGCCTTTTAGAATTAGAAAATATGCCCATAAAAAAAGGTGGGAAGCCACCCTAGGAGATCATGTTGGGGAAGGGACTGTGGCCATCTTTGGGAAACCCTGGAGGACTGGTTTTGGCCCAGGGCCCTGAGGTTTCCCAACCTCTACTCTGTGTCAACCATCTAAGGCTGCTAATAAGGAGGAGAGGTAAGTACGTGTAACAGATTTATTTGAAAGATTGCTAAAACTGGGTTGGCTCCAGGAGAGAAAAGCATGAGGAAGGAAGGGGCAATGTTAGCTCAGCTTGTTGAAGGAGAGGAGCATTCATGCTCCCCTAGAGAACACACAGGTAAGCTCCACTAGCAGAGGCTGGACCTTGCAGACAGACAAAGCTGGCCATCATTCCTGGGGGTTATGGAAGTTATGGTCCACAAAAATAATGTTTCCAAGCTCTGGTCTCAGGGATAGCACTTGACTAGAAGAGCACAAAAGGCCATGTACCTTTATTACAGAATTACTTTATTAATTGAAAGTACAAAAGTGCTCCCTATCTGTTAAATAATTGTAAAGTTAGATAAGAGACCCACAAAACATTTTAACAAACCTTTTCTCACATCCTTTGGCGTTTCTTGTTGCAGTCCCAAGCAGCGGAACCAATGGCGTAAGCCTGCCTCCAGATCCTCCAGTGACCACGTCAGAATCCACAGCTAACACAACAGTGAAAAGTCCTGATCCAGAGGAGAAGGTAAGAGTGTCACATTTTTTAGGATTCTGTGGGAGCTGGGAAGGAAATGGATGGCTCTGCTGTCATTCAGCTTTTATAGCATTCTTATTTTCCAGTTTAAAGATTGTTTTTCTAAAAAGGCCTCGCTCACAAAAGTCCCCACTGGGCATTTGGTACTCTTGAGAGCCAGCCTGGTGTAGTGATATGAGCGTTGGACTAGGATTCTGGAGACCAGGGTTCAAATCTCTGCTTCGCCATGAAACCCACTGGGTGATCTTGGGCAAGTCATATTCTCTCAGACTCAGGGGAAGGCCATGGCAAACCTCCTCCGAACAAACTTTGCCAAGAAAACCCCATGATAGGGTTGCCTTAGGGCAGGGGTAGGCAACCTTTCCCCTTTAAGGGCCGAGGGACTTCAGCTCCCAGAATCCCAGGAGCTATTGGCCAACATGGGACTGTTGGCTAACATGGCTGAGGCTTCTGGGAGCTGAAGTCCCTCGGCGCTTAAAGGGGAAAAGTTGCCTACTCCTGCCTTAGGATGACCATAAGTCAGAAACAACTTAAAGGCACTAACCAACAACTCTGGATCAGTTAATTGTTTGTAATAAGTAACAGTTAAAAGCTAATATTTTTATATATACACACACACACACACACACACACACACACACACCCCGCCCCTCTGCAGAGCAATCGGGGCTGCTTACAACATTTAAAATACATAAATACAATTCCCTTCCCATCCTAACACCCTAAACCCACCCACCCCTAAAAAAAGTATTAAACAAACACAAATTTAAAACACGTTAAAAATAGTACAATGAACATTAAAATGCCAATTCCCATTACAACAGGTGAGGGGAAGGAGAGGAAGACTAAAGTGTTTTTAGTGTTCAGAAGAAATGAACTTTGGTGGATCTCCTAAACCCCTAAAGGCCAGGAATCTAGTCAGGAAAGACCTGCTGAAAGAGATCCATTTTAACAGATTTTTAAAGCTGCTCAAGGTCTTAATCTGATGGATCTCATCCGGTAGGCCATTCCATAGTCTGGGAAAGGTAGCCAAGAAGGCCCTCTGGGAGGTAGCAAACAGCTATAGACAGACGTAGCTGAAGGAAAGCTGGGGAAAGAATTGAGATTAATATTCCAGAGCTGGCTGACTTCTACATCACTAGAATTTAAGGTTTGGGGAAATGAACCACTTTTCT